AAGGAAGGAAGGAAGGAAGGAAGGAAGGAAGGAAGGAAGGAAGGAAGGAAGGAAGGAAGGAAGGAGCTTATAAACCCAGGCACAGTAGTTCATGCCTGTAATCCTAGCAAACCTTGGGAGGCCAAGGTGGGGGGAGGCTGAGGCCAGGAGATTGAGGCTGCAGTGAGCTATGATTGCACGAGAAGACTCTGTCTCAAAAAAAAAAAAAGTTCATGGAAAATTTAAAAGTAAAGAAATGGAGGGGAAAAAAGGATCTAAAATCCACTTACTCTAACATAATCTTTATCCTTAATGATTATTGTATTTCTTCCTAGCCTTTTTTTGCAAGTCCTTTAATAAAACATAGCTGTTATACATAAAATGCAATACCCTTCCTTTTACTCTTCACATTCTATGACATTATTTCATATCATGACATGGTCCTGATGATCATTCATTCAATAGGTAGTTAGTGAGTGCCTGAGATGTGCAGGCATGTTCCAGGCACTGGGAACACAGCCTTGAACCAACAGACAAAACTGTCTGCATGCATGGAGCTCGCATTCTGACAGGAGAGACAAGCAAGAAGCAAAGAAATAAATCGACAGCATTCCGTTAGCACCTAGAGAAAAGAGATATAATGTTCAAAACTTGAGCTATGAGAAATAAAAGAGCAAAAGATCATTTTTTGTCAGAAGGACTATGAAGCATGTTGTTTTACTTAACAAAACCAGTGCTAACCATTTTACATCCTCCAGACTTGAAGTGTGTGGAGGCGTTTAACAGATACAGTTTTACCTTTTTTTCCCTTTTAAGTTATCGTCAGCATTTTTCAATCTCTCTTTAAAGAACATCTTAAATTTGCATAATAGTCATTCATCTTAATAAAGACATTACACTATTGTTGGACATTTAAAGTGGTTTCTTTTGAGGTTTAACTCTTTAAAAACTTCTATAACTCAGCCACTGGGTGCAGTGCCTCACGCCTGGAGTCCTAGAACTTTGGGAGGCCAAGGCGGGCGGATCACGAGGTCAGGAGATCAAGACCATTCTGGCTAACGCGATGAAACCCCATCTCTACTAAAAATACAAAAAATTAGCTGGGTGTGGTGGTGCATGCCTGTATTCCCAGCAACTTGGGAGACTGAGACAGGAGAATCGCTTGAACCCAGGAGGTAGAGGTTGCAGTGAGCTGAGATAGCGCCACTGCACTCCAGCCTGGGTGATAGAGCAAGACCCTGTCTCAAAAAAACAACAAACAAAAACAAAACAAAAAAACTTCTATAAATCAGTGCAGAAAAGTTAAAATTTAGATTTAGTACTGTTGCATTAGAAGAGAATGGCAGAAGCAAAACTACAGGGTCGAAGGGTATAAACATTTTAAAGAAATAGGATGTGAAAAGTTCTAAAGCTCTTGATAAAGATTGACAATTGCTTTCTAAAGGAATCTACTCCCACCAGCCACATATGCGGGAATGCTCGTTTAACCAGTTCCTTGCTGAATCTGAGCCTCATCTTCCCCAGTGGGAGATGGGAGCTCACTGATCCTCTTTCATTTTTGTCTGTATTTAAGGGAACATTTCCAAAGGACACATGGTAGATCAATTCCGTGATCTACCCAAACAAAGGGCGAAACTGTCTCTCCACATCGCACAGAGTTCCACAGCAGGAGGGGAATGTTGAGTTTCAATAGCTACTGCAAGAGGGGAGCCAAAAACCCACCAGGGCATGGAGAAGCCTTCTTTCTTCCCGTCTGTTTTCAGGGAACTCAACTACTCAGTAAGTCAGAAGCAGCAACCTGGCAGGGGTGGAGGTGGGGACTCAGTCCCAATAGCCTGGAAAAGTGCCTCCTCTATTCTGAGATCTTGTTACACACAAACCCAGATCAGAGTCAGCTTCCCTGCCCTGAAAATTCTGGGGTCTCAGCCCCATGAAAAAATAATTTCTTGCCTCAGAGAGCAATAGTGAGGATAAGAAGTGCCAAAACTTAACTGAGCTCTCAAACACCAAAGTGCCTGAAATGTGTCCTGCTGGCAGAGGTGACCTCACAGGCTGCAAGGCTTGCCTCTCTTGGAGTATATGGGAGGAACATGCAGAAATGCACTTTTTGGCAGGCTGATCTAGGAGACCCGATGTTCAATCTGCTCTAATCCAGCAGCTCCAAATGCTGAAGAGAATACAGGGTATTTGATGGGGGGATGGGATGGATAGCCTGCGACAGAATGCCAGGCTTCAGACCCAACCTAGCACTGAGGTGCTTATCCGCGTGCACACCCACCCTTTCCCCCAGAGCTTGCAACATCCAGACTGGCCTGTGGGGATCTGGCTAGGATGTACACTGACTGAAATGTCTTTAGGCCAAATCCTCTTAAATCAAAAGTATAAACAGTGAATTTCCAAACCCTACAGAAACCTCAAAGGAGAAATGACAGAGTCAGAAAATGGCTAATCCCCACAGTTCATACTGGAAGGTCTGAAAAAAGATAGGAAAAAAAAAAAAGGCCTGGTATATATTTGAATATCCAAAATGACACATCTTCTCTCGGAAGTGACACCCGGCTGGCAGATGCCCTTATATAAATATATTTTCTTTCTGTAACTTTCAAAATGTGAAATGTCCTTAAAAATAATAAGAATAAATGATTTGCTTCCTCCTGTGGGATTACTGCACCTGCAGAGTGCAGCCAGCTCTCATGCTCCCAGACACCACCCCAAATCCTCATCATCCTGAGATCAACCTCAACTACTGTGTTGAGTTTTGTCTCACCCAGTGTGCGACCCGCCTCCTGATATGCATTTCACTCCCACTGCGCAAGCAAAGACGATTGTGAAGACAGGGCTAGCAAGAGTGTTTGTTTATTGAGAAAGATGAATTCACAGAGAAGATTTTGAGGTTCCTAGCTGAGTGGTGGAGACCTTAAGAAACGCCTGGTGAGCGATTTCAGGACCTTCTGTTGAGAGGGAAAGACCAGAACAACTTCCAGGTGAGTCCTACCGCTTCGTAGGGGTAGAAGTGTCACCAGATTCAACACCAGGGTTTTGTGAGTGAGAAGGGCAGAGGGCCTGACTTGGAGAAGGTATTTCTCTGAAAGCAAAAGCTATTGTGGGAGACGGGAGAAAGCACAGCCAGAAACCAGAATGGCATTTGGGGGTCTAGGTTCGATTTCTGGTCGGTGCTCTTCCCAATGAGGCAGAGAAGGAAATCCCCTTCCCTTCTGTCTTCTTGGTGAATCTGCGGGTCTCCGAGTTGCTGTCTGCTCCATCTCGTAGCACTTATCTTGTACCCTGCAGGCTGACAGGGAACAGCTAGTCTCAGGAGCCTGGTTTAGGGGAGTTCAATTGCTCTGAGGTTCTGGGGAAGCTGATGGAGGAGACCCTGGGAGTCCAGGCAGCGCGCGAGGCAATGCGATGCCGGCCGGAGCAGCTTGCTGCCGCTAGAACAGGCGCATCTGGGTCCCCTCCCGGGACTTCTCCCCTCCTCTCGGTGCTCCGCTGTCGCCCACCTCCAGCGGCCCGGGGCAGCTACCAGGGGGCCGAGGCAGTGTTCGCGGCCTGGGCCCGGCAACGGAACACGGAACTGTCGTCCCTGGAGAGCGAGGAGGCCGAGCTGATCCTTCGCGCCAGGCGGCCGGTGCGCCCGCAGGCCGCGTCCAGCGCCCGGGCTCGGAATGAGCGGTCCAGCAGGAGGTAGATGAGCGGGTTGGCGCAGCTGTTGACGAAGGCCAGGCAGGTGGCGATGGTGAGGCCCCAGCGCAGCGCCAGCAGCAGGGGGCACGGCAGCGGCAGCGCCCCCAGACGCGCCAGGTGGAAGACGGCCCGCAGGGCGCTGAAGGGCAGCCAGGAGCCCACGAACGTGCTCTCGATGGCGAAGATGATGCGCAGCGAGTTCCTCCGGACCCGACCCACGTGCGGCGGCCGGCGCAGGCGGCGCGAGATGCGGCAGTAGCAGAAGAGGGTGACGACCAGGGGCAACACGAAGGTCAGCAGCAGCAGCAGCAAGCTGAGGCCCTGGAAGGTGTGGGAGGGCTCCTCCCCGCACTGGCTGCCCTGGCCCCCAGGCAGGGGCTGCAGCCCCCGGTAGACCAGGGAGGGCAGGCCAGCCAGCAGCGCCGTGGCCCAGACGCCGCAGCACGAGGCCAGCGCGCAGCGCGGGGTGCGCAACGGCCGCGCCTCGAGCAGCTTCACCACGGCCAGGTAGCGGTCCATGCTCATGCCAGCCAGCAGCAGTGCGCCCGCGCAGCGCGTGCCCGCCAGCGCGAAGCTACTGAGCTTGCAGAGGCCCTCGCCGAATGGCCAGCGGCCGCCTAGCGCCGCCGCCGCGGCCCACAGCGGCAGTGTGAGCACTAAGCCCAGGTCAGCGGCCGCCAAGTGCAGCACGAAGGTGTCCACTAGCCGCCGGGGGCCGCGCCGCCCGGCCAGCAGCCACACCACGAAGGCGTTACCCAGCAGGCCCATGGCGAAGGCCGCCAGGTAGAGTGCAGGAATGTAGACGTAGCCGTAGGGCAGGTCCCCGGCCGGACACAGCTCCAGCTCCTCCAGGCCGTCCAACCCCGAGTAGTCCCAGGCCCCTGACCCCGGGCTGGGACTCCAGGGCTCTGTGGGGTCCATGGCCTGGCCACGAGGCCTGCGCTGGGTGCAGCCCTGGGCTCAGGCAGCAGCAGCTCTGAGCAGGAGGGGGTTTGCTCTTCATGCCCGTGTCGTGCACCTCCCTTCCTGCCACCCCAGCTCGAGCAAATGGGTGGGCAGGAAAGACAGGAGGGAGGAGGGGATGGGGTGGGAGGGGCAGGCTCCTGTGGGAGAGATGGTGGCCTCCGATTTGGGGCTGACCCGAGGGGTAAGGGCTGGGATAGGCAAAAGGGGCTTCACAACTAAGTCTTGGGAGGAAAAGTCCTCAGGGCAGGGAGACCTGCCCCGCCTCCCAGTAGGAGCGTGGCCCATTCCTCTATTAGTTGCTCAGTTTCTTTGTTCGTGAAATCGGGATACTTGCCCCACTGTCTCAGGGTCGTGTTGCAAGAGGTGGTGGGTGCCAGAGAGCCCTAATCTCTTCTCAGCCTCCACCTCACCCGTTCCCACCTGCACCCACCGGCTGCTGTTTTCTCTGTTTTAGAGGGGAGAGGACAGGGGATTTTATGAGTATGGGGCCTAAGGCACGCCCCACCCCAAATCCACCTGTTCCCTAGGAAAGAGTCCACTGCCGGGACACAGCAGATCTGGGTGGGTCGGGGAGCCCACCCTGGGCACTCAAGCCGTTGTTAGCATCCTGAAATGTGGGGCTTATGTCTTCACCTTGTGAGTGGCTTCTCTGACCCAATCAGGTCCTCATGAAGCGGAGTGGAAGGGTTTTAAGGCATCTAGGAAGGAGTGTAGTCAGATCATCCTGCTGGACAGGGGCCAAGCCTGGGATTCACATCTGCCTCTTTCCTGTCTTCTCCTAGCCTAAAAAAGCTATCTATTAAGCCAGACACAGATGTAAGCTCAGTTCAAAAGATGACACCTAATGAAACACCAGATTAGTTGTCCTAAATTATGAGTCAGGAGCTTGGAGGCAGCAAGATCCTTTGTGAAATGAGAAACTGAGAGTAAGGGGAGGATTCCTAAAGAAGAGGCGGAATGAAGTCTGACCCTGAGTGGGCAGTGGGCCCTAAGGAGAAGAGGATGGGGGAGGGAAAGCTTGCTCTTTCTCCTGAAGGAGGCATGCAGCCAATTACAGCCAATTCTTGGCCTTAGCAGTTTATTGCATAGGCAGGAGAGATGGTTACATAAGCAGAATGTGCAATGGCCAACATGCCGGGAGTCCAAATTGTAGTAAATGTTAAAAGCCAAGCCCTCTTAGGGTTTAGTGGAGGGGGAGTGATTATTTTTGATGGGAAAGCTAAATCAGAAAAGGCCTTCTAGGAGATGACACTTGAGATCAGTCCCAGGAAGGAGCTGAAAGTCAAATAAGAGCAGCAGAAAAGAGAAGAAAGGGTCAGACTCGGAGGAGGGAGTGAAGGGAACAAGTATACTGAAATGAGTAGGAATGTGGGCTTTTCAGGGGACAAGCAGTCTGCCAGAGCCTAGGGTAGGAAGGTGGGGACAGGAGATGAAGCAGGATGAATCATGAAGGGATTTGGATTTCAATCTACAGGTCATGGGGGAGTCAGGAGGCATTCATCTGTGTTTTGAAAAGATCGCTGGCAGAACTGTGGAGAAGGGAGAGACTCAAGCCAGGGAGACCCCACAGTAGGTTGTAATTATTTGTGTCTGAAACAGATCATGAGCAGTGGGGACAGAAAGGAGAGGATATATTCAGGAGGTAATTGTAGCATCATAGGTCTCACAAAGAAGAGTCAAAGATGAGCCTGGGGTTTCTCTGCTTAGGGACCATATGGACACTGTCCCCTTAACTGCCAAGAACAGAGAGGCACATGTGTGTATGTGTTCAGTTTGATGTTGGTTTGAAGTAGGGTCATGAAATAATTTATCATCTAAACCAGGATGTTTCTGAGAGTGAAAGGGGCACGATGAGAATTAACCTGGGCCATAAACCAGGACTATTTTGGGCAAACTGGGACATAAGGTCACCCTCACTTGGGGTCCCTCTGGCACACGGAGATCCCCAGGAAGGATCTGGAAAATGGTCTTAGAGGCCGGGCGCAGTGGCTCACATCTGTAATCCCAGCAATTTGGGAGGCCGAGGCGGGGAGATCACTTGAGGTCAGGAGATGGAGACCAGCCTGGCCAACATGGTGAAACCCCGTCTCTACTAAAACTACAAAAATTAGCCAGGCATGGTGGCACACACCAGTCCCAGTTACTCAGGAGGCTGAGGTGAGAGAATCGCTTGAACCCGGGAGGCAGAGGTTGCAGTGAGCTGAGATCCAAGCCACTGCACTCCCACCTGGGTGAAAGAGCGAGTCTCCATCTCAAAAGAAAATGGTCCTAGAGCTCACAGAGAGTTGGGTATGCAGTGTTCAGGCTGCACCTGTCAAGAATTTTTCCCACACCAACTACAAGATGCACAGGGAAGAGAAGAGGCTAGGGAATGAATGGTCTGGACCTTCCCTTCACATGCATTTCGGCCTCTGGGCTTGGTTTTCCCCTGAAGACCCACCCCAGAGCCTTTTTTCTAATGTCTGAGCATGTGGTTGCTGGTGAGTGGTGCCCACATCCGGGGTGGAGTAGGGGGCTGCAGCCTCCTCCCCTAGAAGGCTAGCAGGGGCAGTGCTTGCCTGCCAGAGCCCAGAGACCATCAGAGACAGACCCAGTGTTGCTGGACTTTACCCCCTTGGGCACACCTCAGTCTGGGGCTCAGAGAGTGTGAGTGATCCTGAAAGCTAGAGATGAACAGCAGAAAAGCCGCCAGGTGAAAACAAAGAATGGGGCAAGCAGACCAAGAGGGGAGTATAGGAAGGGGGTTGAAGGGAAGTAGAAGTAGGTTGTTCATTTAAAAAAACACAGAGCTACTTGCTTCCTGGGCCATCATCTCACACCCAAGGGAAGTCTGTGGCCCACAGCATATGCTGAATTTTCTCTGCTGAGGCCTGGGCGCTGTCCGTGGGCCTTACTGAACTTGTCTGGATGGGAAGAAGCAACAAAGGTCAGAGCCAGGGACACTGCCTTGGTCCTGGCCTCCCGGGGTGCCCAGCCCGGTTTCAGTGACCAAGGCCAACTGCATGAGACTGCTCTTTCACCCTTCAGGAGGACTCCCCACAGGATCACACACAAGTCAACGGATAGAAACACACCCTTACAGGCTGTGTACACATCCCACCCCTGGGAGCTTTCTCTGACCTCCATCCCTAATAGGACTTCCTCTCTGTGCACTGCTGGAGCCACCAGGGCGACTGTTACGTGGCTCCGTCTTGCCTTGCCCATGGGATTATGAACTTCTCAGGGCGAGGAGGAGCTTCTCTCTACCCATCAGGGTGATTAGCACAAGCCTGAGAACAGAGGAGATACTTTAAATAAATATCCAATGCTTCAGGCTAAATTGTTTTCGAGAGTAGGTTTCTTTTTGCCCCCCTTACAGGTTATATTTAAGTTCTTGTAACTTATTTTTTCCAATTTTAATTTTTCTGTACAAAGAATCTTAACATTTTAAGTAAATTGTATTTGCCTTTTTATTTTTAATCATAAAAGCCATCTAATCACATTACAGAATAGAGAAGTAGTCATCTTGGACCTGCTACCGCTACACAACCAAACTTAGCCAGTGAAGGATATTTTCAAAAGTATTCATTTGTAATCTTATTATTTTTAGATTTTCTATTTTTAAATATTCCATTTTAGATATCCTTCACATTTTTTACAGTTGTTTCAAAGTCGTATCTGTAATTAGAGTGTACACAGTATTCTCAATATCATATAAATCCACATGAGTCTATGATGCTTAATTTTCTAAACCCTTAAATATGGATATTTAGGATGTTTCTAATATTTTTAACTGTTATAGAAATTTGTAATGAATAATTGCACTTATGATTTTTTCTTTTATACTGTTTTTATAACATACTCTTGTATTTATATTATAAATATTATGTATTATTTGTTATGTATTATTTATTATGTATTATGTGATAATACATAATATAAATTTTATGTATTATTGTATTATGTTATAACATACTCTTGTATTTATGTTATAAATACATGTAAATATGCATTTATACATATTTATTTTTATATGTATTTATAACATGCTATGGACTCTGTCATGTAACATATATATGTTATAAATACAAATTTTGTAGCAAAGGCTATGAAAATTTTTATTGCTTGATACAAATGCTTACAGTGATTAGTAGTTTAGAATGTCACTGGCATTGTATGAGAGTATAAGGTTCAACACAGTCTTCTTAGAGATGTTCATCGTAACATATATTTTCCATTGTAACAGGCAGTGAAGTAAAATGGTACCTCATTTCAATTTGCACTTGTTTATAAATAAGATGGAAAATCTATTTATTTCCTCTTAAGTGAACCATTTTAATCATGTCCTTCACATATTTATTATAATCTATGTATTTCTTATTAATTTGTACAAACTATATATTTAGGATGAATCATGTTTCATTCCACTTGATTCAAATATTTTTCCAAATTCTTTTCTTAGCTATTATTTATTTTAGTTTTACATTTTCATAGTCAAATTTGTTGCTATTAGCAATTTCAGAGTTTAGAATGTTACTTTCTCTTTGACAATGTAAGAAGATTCAGTCTGTCATTAAAAAATAATTTTTGTTAGTATTTTAAAATTTACCTAGTGTTTAATCGATTTTTTCATATCTCTATCCAGCTTTCTTAACATCATTTATTAAATTTAAAATATATATTTTTTAAAACCTTGCTCTGTGTCATGATATAGAATTAGATGCATTTCTTCTTTTTTAAAATTATATGTATTTCTTCTTCTTTTTATTTTTATTTTTTATTCTTTATTTTTTTTGCAGACAGGGGCTTGCTCTGTTGCCCAGGCTGCAGTGTAGCCCAGTGTGATCATAGCTCACTGCAGCCTCAAATTCCTCAGCTCAGGCAATCCTCCTGCATCAGCCTCCTGAGAAGCTGGGACTACAGGTACACACCACCATGCCTGGCTAATTTTATTTTTTACTTTTTTTAGAGACACGGTCTCACTATATTGCCTAGGATGGTCTCAAATTCCTGGCTTCAAGTGATCCTCCTACCTTGGCCTCCCGAAGTGC